GCGCCGCGCGGCGCCGCCGCCGAAGCGCGTCGCGCGGGTCCCGGCGCGGCGCGTCGCGGACGGCCCGCGCGGCCGCGGCCGCGGCCGGTCCGTCGCCGCGGCGCCCCGGCTCCCGGCCATCGCCGGCGCGCCCAAGAAGTCGCGGTCGGCCTCGCGCCCGGCGCCCGCCGCCGCCGCCGCCGCGGCGCCCAAGAAGTCGCGGTCGCGGTCGCGGTCCGGCGCGCGCCGCAGCCGGCCGGCCGCCGCGCCGCGCGCCGCCGCCGCCGCGCCGCGCGCCGCCGCCGCGCCGCCCAAGACGCTCCCCCACGGCTTCCCGATCGATATCTTCCACCGGACGAACCCGGTGGTGCCCTACAAGAACCGCTCGGTCGTCCCGAAAGAGTCGGCGCAGTTCCCCACGAAGCTCCGCGCGCTGCTCGAGGAGCCGAAGCACGCCGACGTCGTCGTCTGGCGCGCCTCGACGCAGAGCATCTGCGTCCTCGACAAGCCGGCGTTCTGCAAGATCCTGCCGCGCTACTTCAAGCTCTCGTACAAGACGGGCGCCGCGGCCGCCGACCTCAAGAAGATGTGGGACTCCTTCGTCCGCCAGCTCAACTACTACGGCTTCCACAAGCGCACCCGCGGCGCCGACGAGTACGCGATCACCGACGACCCCAAGATCACGTCGCCGCGCAAGTTCTCGCGCCTCTGCCGCCGCCTCCCGATCTCGCGCGCCAAGGACCGCCCGAGCATCAGCGACCTCGACCGGGCCGCCCTGCCCGCGCACGCGCCGCCCCCGTCGCGCGCGCCGCGGGCGCCGGCGCCGGCGCCCCCGGCGTCGCCGGTGCCGGCGGCGTCGCCGGCGCCGTCGAAGCCGTCGAAGCCCGCGGCGCCCTCGGCGCCCTCGGCGCCCTCGTCGGCCAACAAGCGCAAGCGCGAGGCCAAGCGCGCGGCGGCCGAGGCCATCGTCAACCTCTTCGACGGCGGCCGCGACTACGACCTCCCCGGCTGCGACGACGACGACGCCGACGACGAGGCGCCCCCGAGCCGCCTCCCGCCCAAGAAGCGCAAGCGCCGCGGCTAGGCGCTCCAAGCTCCGAAGCTCCGCGCCGCCGCCCGAGCGGCGGCCCGACACCCGGGACAGATTTTCTCCATGCGAACCTGAAAGCGCGTGGAATTTGGTGATGAACCCCTCCCACTGACTTATTCCCCCGGGTCTTCGATCCCTGCCCATTTCCCCATGCTCATACTCCTCCCCGCGCCTCCGCCACGGAGCCGCGCGCGCCCCATTCGTCCACGTTTCCCCGCGCCTCCCCGCCGGAGCCGCGCGCCGAAGCGTACTCCTATGAATACGACTGCGCTACGCCGCGCCGGTGGGCCGGGGCCCGGCGTGGCACCGGTCGCCGCCGCCCGTGGCCCGGAGGATGGCCTCGTAGATGCCGTCCTCGTAGGCGCCGAGGCCGGGGACGTCGCGGCCCGGGTCCTTGCCGAGGTCGTCGTAGACGCGGAGGCGGAGCGCGACGTCGGCGCCGGGCGCGGCCTCGAAGGCCGCGAGCTCCGACGCGTTCATGGGCCCGCCCTGGCGCTTGAGCGTCTGGACGGACGCCTCGGAGAGCTTCGCGAAGTAGCCGGGATCCGACGCGACGAGCGCGCGCTTCGCCTCGACGTGGAGCCCCACGGCGCTCGCGACGGCCTCCGGCAGGCCCGCGGCCCGGGCGAAGGCCGCGCCCATGGCCGAGTGGTGCTCGTAGCCGATGGACCCGTCCGCGTCCGAGACGAGGAGCCGCGCCGGCGGTCGCGTCTCGGCCCAGAGGTCGCGCGCCTGGGGCGCGTTGCCGACGTCGTGGAGGAGGCACGCGAGCACGGCGTCGTCGGCCTCGCCCCGGCTCGCGGCGACGTCCGCGACCTGGAGCGCGTGTGCGAGCATGTCGACGCCCTCGCCGTACTTGAACGCGGCCTGCGACGCGACCGCGGCGACGACGCGGCCCGCGGCGGCGCGCCGCGCGTCCGGCGGCGCGGGCCGCCCGGCGGCGGCCGCCGCGGCGACGCGCGACCGCACGGCGTCCATGTCGATGTAGGCGCCCTCGAGGAACCGGGGGCCGACGTAGGCCTCGCGGCCGTGGAGGACGCGCGCGTTGTCGAAGACGAGCGCGTCGCCCGGCGCGAGGTCGACGGGCAGCAGGAACTCGGCGTCGTTGACGAGCGCGTCGAAGGCGGCCCAGGCGCCGTAGTAGGCCTCGAGGAACGCCGGCGAGCCCCGCAGCTTGCCCGCGGACCGCCCGTTGAACGCGACGCGGACGACGGCGCCCGTCGCGGCGTCGACCGTGAGGACGGGCGGCGCCGCGCGGAGCAGCGCGCCGCTGCCGGCGTACTCGTAGGGGTGCGGCGTCGCCGCGAGGAGCGCGAAGGCGCCGGGGTCGTCGCGGCGGAGCCGCGCCGCGGCCGCGAAGCCGTCGACGACCGTCGTGCGGCCGCCGGCGTCGGCCCTCGCGCGGCAGACGAGGATCTGCGCGCCGGGGCACGGGTCGCGGTACGGGTTGTCCGTGTGGCTCCGGATCGCGACCTGCGCGCGCGCGCGCGCCGTCCCCAAAGGCGCCGCGCGCGCGGGACGCCGGCCGCGCGACGGGCGTGTAGGCGAGGTTCGTCGCGTTTTCGCCCGCGTCGCGCACGCCGAACGTCGCGCCGTAGTTGGTCGCGCGGACGTGCCCCAGCAGGGCCGCGACCGCTTCCGCGGACGACGCGTTGCCGAGGCGCGCGACGCCGTGGGCGACGAGCGCGGCGGACGCTTCGAGGGCCGCGCCCGGGGCCGCCGCGTCGACGCGCGGGAGGAGCGGCGCGAAGCGCGCGTTCCACAGTTCCGGCGCGGGCGCCGCGGGCGGCGGCTTCGCGGCGTGCGCCGCGAGCCACTCCGCGTCGAAGGTCGAGTTGGCGCCGTCGGCCCAGGCGACGGCGAGGTTGCCGCCGTCCAGCGTCGCGCGCACCGCGTCGTAGGCGCGCGGGTCGGCCACGACGTCGGCGATCTCGAACGTGCGCTGGCCGTTGGCCGTGATGAGGGCCGGGTCGTGGAGGCGCAGGAACAGCGCGGACACGGCCTCGCCGCCGACGTCGACCGTCCGCGCCGCCGCGCCGCCGCGCGCCGCCGCGGCCAACGCGAGGGCGAGTATGGGCGCCATCGCGAATCGGGGCTGCCTCGCTTGACTTCAAGTGAAGCCGACGACGCCGTGAATCTTCCGCTTCTTCGCGTGGTCCGAGCAGTCGGGGACGGCGTCGACGCCGCTCTTCTCGTCGTTCTTCCACGTGCAGTCCGCGTCCTTCTTGCACTTGCCCTTCTTCGTCTTCTTCTCGCAGTAGCTCTTCGCCACGATGCGCCTCCTCGCGCTCGCGGTCTGCGCGGCCCTCGCGGCCGGGGCCACGTTGAGCAACCTGCGCCTGCCCGTCGACGAGGCGGGCGACGAGCTCGTCACGGGCGAAGCGTCGGTCCTGCTCCACGCGGGCCGCTATTACTTTTATTTCAACGACTGGGGGGGCTGCCCCGGCATCGACTGCTGCGGCTCCTCGGGGGGCTGCGCGAGCTGCTGCTTCGGTCCGAAGCAGAACGCGAGCCTCGACGGCTGCGTCTACCGCACGAACCACTCCGTCGTCGCCTACTCGACGGCGGACTTCGCCTCGTGGCGGCGCCACGGCGTCGTCCTGGCCGAGGCCGCGCGCGCGCCCGGCGTCGAGTTCCGGCCGAACGTGATCCGCCACGCGGCGAGCGGCGCGTTCCTCATGTGGTACGAGGACCGCCACGAGAACCAGACCGGCTACGCCGTCGCCGTCGCCGACGGCCCCGCGGGGCCGTTCCGGACCGTCGTCAACGACACGGCGATGCAGGGCCGCGGCAGGGTCGGCGACTTCTCGCTCTTCGTCGACGACGACGGCGCGGCGTACCACGTGCGCACGGGCTTCGTCGTCGAGCGGCTCGCGGACGACTACCGCTCGGGCGCGGGCCCGTACGCCGAGTTCGCGTCGCCGAAGCCCGCCGAGGCGCCGGTCATGTTCAAGGAGCGCGGGACCTACTACGTCGTCGCGGGCACGGGCTGCTGCGCGTGCCGCGGCGGCGCGTCCGCGTACGTGTTCTCGGCGGACGCGCCCCTGGGGAACTGGACGTACCGCGGCGACGTCGGCTCGCGCCCCGGCGCCTTCGACCCCCACAGCCCCGACAACTACGTCACGAACGCCCAGGGCTCCGCCGTGTTCCGCGTCGGCGGCGACCTCGTCTACCTCGGGAACCAGTGGGTCACGTCCGCGCGGCCCGGCGGGCCGCGGAACAACGACCTCCTCGCGTGGTACAAGATTGCCGTGGACGGGAACGGCGACGTCGCCCCACTCACACACGTCGACGCCATCGACGTGCGCCCCGGAGGCGCGAATCTTGAGGGGCAACGCTAGCCTAGGCCTTCAAGGTGGGCCGATGGGGGGCAACGTATCCGTATTTATTTCGGCTGCCCATTGTCGTCGGTATAGGACGTCCCCTCGCGTCGCCCACGCCCGGCGGTCGGCCGCCATGGTCCCCGTCCTCGCGGCCGCCTGGGTCGCCGCCGCCGCGGCCCACGGCCGGTCGTGCGCCCCGGCGGCGCCGCGCTTCGACGCCGCGGCGGCCTGCGGGCCCGGCGTCTCCGGCGTCGTCGTCGTGCCCGCCGTGCGCAAGGGCCTCAACAACCAGCGCATGCGCATCGTCCAGGACGCCGTCGTCGCGTCGCTGCTCGGCGCCGCGCTCGAGCTGCCGCGGTCGGTCCGCACGCGGCGCGGCTGCGGCTACCGCGCGGACTGCTACGCGAACTACAGCGAGGAGGTGGCCTTCGGCGACGTCTTCGACGAGGCGCGCGTCGTCGCGGGCCTGCGTACGGCGGGCGTCTGCGTCGTCCGCACGGGCCTGCCGGCGGACGCGGCGCTCCCCGAGCTCGCCGGGTCCCTCTGGCCCGCGGCGGCGTCGATGCTCGAGCGCGAGTTCGGCGCGGGCCCCGTCGCGGGCCCGTCGCACCCGGCGCTCCAGCGGTGGAAGGTCGCGGGCCACGTCTTCTCCCTGGGCGGCGACGGCGACTGCTGCACGAAGCTCGTGCCGGACACGCCGCGGTCCGCGCGCCTCGTGCGCCTCGTGAACGCCGCGTTCGCGCCCGCGGCGGGAACAGGGTGATGCAACGTCGCTTCAACGTGAGTCTTCCTCGCGCGCGCGTTTCGGAAACAGCACCCCCGCTTCGAGACCGCTCCGAGCGATGATCGCTCGTCCAAAAATCAGCCGAAACGAGCGGAAAGTGACCGAGAGAGGAGCCTTTGAAGTCGGGAATGTCGCACCCGTTTCCCGCCCAGGTTCGCGCCCGCGGCGCGCGTCGACCGCGCGGCCGAGGCCGCGCTCCGCCGGTTCCGCGCGGAGACGCGCGACGCGCCCGTCGTCGCGCTGCACTGGCGCGGCGACGAGGACTTCGTGCGGACGGCCCACGGCCTCAACGCGTCCGCGCACGACGCCGCGGCGTGCGAGGCGCTCGACGCGGCGCTCCGCGCGGCGCGCGGCGCCGCGGACGCGCGGCGCGGGCCCGCGCGCGGCGCGCGGCGCCGGCGGCGCCGCGACGCGGCCGCCGAGGCGCGGCCCCCCGCCGTGCTCGTGCTCGGCGACGTCGCGGCGGCGGCGCTGCCGGCGCTCGAGGCGCGCGTGCGCCGCGCGTGCGGCGGCGACTTCGCGTTCCACACCAAGGCGTCGCTCGGCGCCGAGGACGCGGCCCTCGCCGCGGGCCCGCGCGGCGGCGACGACGTCAAGGGCCAGGTCGACTTCGAGCTCGGCGTCGCCGCGGACGCGTTCGTCGGCGCGCCGTTCTCGTCGTTCTCCGTGCTCGTCGCGCTCGCGCGCGCCGCGCGGCCCGGCGGCGCGGCGGCGACGTCCATGGTCGACGTCGACGTCCGCGACGGCCTCGGCGCCATCTTCGCGAAGCAGTTCCTCTACGGCGAGGACGTCGACGACGCCGCGGCGCACGCGCGGCGCTGCGGCGACCTCGTCGAGCTCCACGGCGGCTTCGGCGCGGGGCTCGGCGCGTGCGTGCTCCGGCGCCAGGGCGAGGAGGGCCGGCGCGTGGTCCTGCGGGCCTTCCAGGCCTGCGACGAGTGCGCGCCGGTCCTGCCGAACGTGTGCCTCGACACCGGCGCCGCGGACGCGCGCTACGAGGCGCTCCTCGACGGCTGGAACCCCGCGGACGAGCTGAGCCGCCACGACGACGCGCTCGGCGTGTCCTGCGCGCGCGCGGCGCGGCTCCTCGACGTCGCCGGCGGGCCCCACCGCGACGCCGCGACGGGCCGCGTCTACGCGCTCGACGAGAACCTGGAGGAGTTCCGGCTGCTCCGCGAGGGCTTCCGGCGCGCGCTCCGCGTCGCGCCGCGCCGCGTCGAGCCCGCGGCGTGCGGCCTCCCGCGCGCGCCGCCCTTTGCGCCGCCCCTCGACGCGCCGGCGACGGCGGGCGGCCGCGTCTGCGTCCTCGCGGTGGCCAGGGCAGCAAAAGAGAGCGAAATTCCCAACTTCAAAGGCTCCTATCTCGGCCATTTTCCACTCGTTTCGGCTGATTTTTGGACGAGCGATCATCTCTCGGAACGGCCTCGAAGCGTGGATGCTTTTTCCGGAACGCGCGCGCGCGGAACACTTACGTTGAAGCGACGTTGAATCACCCTTTTGCTGCCCAGGCGGTGGCGACGGCGCTCTTCGGCGCCGTCGACGCGCTCGAGCCGCTGGCGGACGCGGAGCGGAAGCGCGCGCAGCTCGACCGCTACGAGAACGACCTCGGGCTCGCGAGCTGCTGGTTCGCCTTCGTCGACGGCGCGGCCTTCGACGCGCTCGCGGACGCCGCGGGCGCGGCGCCGGGTGAGCGGGCCTGCGGGCGCCTGGCCTACGGCCGCTACGACGTCGTGCGCGTGCCCGAGCGGCTCATGCCCTTTTCGGCGTCGGGGCCGAACTCGCGCGTGCCGAAGATGCTCGGCCACCTCTTCCTCGGCCACGCGCGCTACCTGCTCTACATGGACGCGAAGATCCGCCTCGGCGCGCTCGAGGACGCGTGGACGCTGCTCTACGAGGAGCTCGTGCGGCCGGCCGCGGCGTGGGCGTCGCCCGCGCACCCGAAGCGCGCGACGCCCTACGAGGAGGCGCGCTGCGTCCACGTCCTGGGCCTCGCCGGCGACGGCGTCCTCGCCCAGATGCGCGCGTACCGCGCGGCGGGCCTGCCCGAGGACGCGCCGCTCATCGAGGGCGAGTGGCACCTCCGGGACCTCGCGGACAACCGCTCCGCGGCGCTCGGCTGCGCCTGGTTCGAGGAGTTCGCCAGGCGGGGCCACGCCCGGGACCAGATCTCCTTCAACTTCGCCGCGCGGGGCCTCCGCGACGCGCCCTCGAACGCGGGCGGCGCGGCCGCGTTCGTCCGCGTCGCCGACTACCGCGGCGCGAAAAAGTACGCGCACGTCGAGCGCGCGCCGGCCTACTGGAAGGCCCGGGCCAAGAGCCACACCTGCGACATCGACATCGACCACCCGGCGGAGCGCCGCGCCGCGGTCATGGCCTACATCGCGCGCGGCCGCGACGCCGCGCCGCGCGACGCCGCGCCGCCGGCGCTCGCCGCCGCGCTCGCGGCCGCCGCCGCCGCCGCCGCGCTCTGGCGCCGCCGCCGCCGCGGGGCGCGCGCGCAGCGCGCGCGCAGCTCGTAACGGCGGCGGGCGTACGCGTCGCGGTGGGGAGCGCGCCCTCAGGCTGTCCGGTCGCGTCGTTGGTCGCTGGACGTCCGGACGTTCAAACGATGGATTCCGCCAAGGCGCCGGCCCTGGCCAACGCGACGAACGCGTCGCCCGCGGCGGCGCCCGCGGCGCAGAAGGCGCCGCCCGCGTCGCCCGCGGCGCCGGAGCCGGCGCCCGCGCCGGCGGTCGACGCCGGCGCGCCGGAGGAGGCGCCGCTCTTCGCGGTCAAGGAGCTCGTCGAGGTGTCGCGGCGCAAGTTCCCCGGGTTCAACTTCGAGGGCGGGACGGCGAAGATCACCAAGGTCCACGACGAGCGGTCCGCGGACCTCGGCCCCATGAAGGACGGCAGCGCGCGTCGGACGACGGGCTTCACGTACGGCGTCAAGTACGTCATGGGCGGCTCCGAGAAGCGCGTCGACGCGCAGCACATCGCGAGCAAGCGCGAGGTGAGCCGCGAGGCGGCGAGCGCGGCGCGCCAGGAGGAGGTCGCGGCGCAGCGGGCCGAGCGCGAGCGCGCCGAGGCCGCGGCGCGCGCCGAGGAGGCCGCGCGCGTCGAGCGGAAGCGCGCCGCGCGCGCCAAGGTCGCCGCGCTCCGCGAGGCGAAGAAGCGCGTCGCCAAGCCCGCCGCCGCGCCGGCGAAGAAGCGCGCGAAGACGGACGCGGCGCCCGCGGCGCCGCCGCCCGCCGCGCCCGCCGCGGCGCCCGCGGCGGCGCCGCCGGCGCCGGCGCCGCCCGCGGAGGAGCCCGCCGACGCGGCCTGGCTGCGCGGCGTCCTCGCGACGGCGCCGCGCGACGTGCCCGACGAGCTCGACCTCGAGGCCTTCCACGCGCACGCGGCGGCGTCGTCGCCGCCCGCGGCGCTCGGCGGCGACGCCGCCGCCGTGCGCGCGGGCGTGCGCGCGCTCCTCGCCCGGCTCGAGGCCGACAACCACGTCATGGTCGTCGACGGCACGCTGTTCCTCGTCTAGCCACACCCTCCGCCTCCCCCTAAGCGGCTCGCGAGCGCCCGGGCTTGGTCGACGTAGCCGCGGCTCGCGGGCGCCCGGGCTTAGTCGACGTAGCCGCCGTAGGTCGCGTCGTCGTCGCCGACGACGCCCCGCCGCTTGAAGTAGAGGACGGCCTGGGCCCGGCTCCCGGCGACGAGGGGCGTCGTCTGGTGGAGGTGGCGGCCGAAGTGGACCGCGGCGACGCCGGGGACCATGTCGACGAGGAACGAGTCGCCCGGCGCGTCGGCCGTGCCGAAGAAGCGCACGGCCGAGCCCTCGCAGGCGCTGTGGAGGCAGAGGTTCACCGTGACGTGGCTCGGGTCGCGGTGCGCGTTGAACGTCGTGTCAAACTGCCGGTCGTCGTAGTACAACGTGAAGGCGTCGTAGAGCTCGAGCGACGCCGTCGGGTCCGCGACGTAGTGCGCCAGCGTCTCCGCCGCCGCGGCGACGATCGCGGCGACGGGGAAGCCGGGCTCCTCGAGCAGGTCGTTGGCGTGCGGCGCGGAGTCGTCGTCGTCCTGCGCGGCGAGGAGCGGCGACACGGCCCTGGCCGCGGGGAACCACCGCGCGACGTCGACGACGCCGGCGAGGTCCACGAAGCGCACGCCGCGCTTCGCCATCTCGTCGCGGTCGAGGACGACCGGCGCGGCCGCGTAGGCGGCCATGGGCGGCGACGACCGCGAGCTGCTGCTGCTCGCGCGCTGCTGTCCGCGCGCTGCGAAGCGATTGATGCGCTGCGGTACTGGTCGACGCGCTGCGGAGTTGGTCGACGCGCTGCGGCGCAGGTCGGCGTAGACGCTGCGAGGCGCGCTGGTTCACGACCAGTGGAGGCAGCTCATCGTCTGCCCATTCCACTCGAGATCGCCAGACACACGATGGACGCCGCAAATGCCGCTGCCGCAGCGATGCTGCGCGCCGGCGGCGCCGCCAGCGCCGGCGCCGACGCCGCCGCGCCGCCGGCGCCGAGCGACGTCGAGCGCATCGCCGCGAGCCTGGGCTTCGACGTGTGCAGCGACAGCGACGACGACGACGAGCTCATGTCGCTGGTGCCCGCGGACGCGGCGGCGCACGCCGAGTGGGTCGACGAGGACGAGCAGTTCGACGGCGCGCCGCGGACGGAGCACGAGGCGCTCGCGCCGCCGCCCGCGCCCGCGCTGGCGGACCTCGCCGTCGCGCCGGGCGCGCCGCTGCGCCGCGTCGGCGTCGCCGAGTCGTTCCTCGCGTCCGAGCGGACGCTCGTCGTCCGCGGCGCGCGCGACGCGGCGGCGCTCGTCGAGGACAGCGTGCTCTGCCTCGAGGACCGGTTTCCCCTCGGCGCCGTCGCCGAGATCTTCGGCCCCGTCCGCGAGCCCTTTTACGTCGTCCGCCTCCGCGACGCCGCCGACGCGGACGCCGTCGCCGCGCGGGACCCCGCGGGCCGCGACGTCTTCGCGCCCGCGGACCGCGTCGCCTTCGTGCGCCCCGAGGAGCTGTCGTCGCGCGGCTGCGACGCGTCCAACGTCTACGACGAGGAGCTCCCGGACCACCAGCAGGAGTTCTCCGACGACGAGGACGCGCAGGCCGCCAAGGCCCTCGCGAAGAAGCGCGGCCGCGACGGGGGCGGGGCGCCGCCGGTGTACGAGGGGCCGCCGCCGCCGCCCTAGAGTGGTCTGGACCTTACTCGGTCGCTTAGGCGAGGCGGAAGGCGGCGGAGCCGGTGATGGCCGTCCGGCAGATGGGGCACCGGGCGGACGTCGCCCGGTGGGACGCGGCGCAGGACGTGCAGAAGCACGCGTGCTCGCAGGGGAGGAAGGCGACGGACCGCGCGGCGTCCTGGCAGACGATGCACGCCGCGAGGTTCGCCATCGCGGCGGTGGTCGGCTCGACGGCGGGCGCGACGCGGCGCCGCGCCGCCGAGATGGGGCGCACGAGGTCGTCGTTGTGGGCGAGGTTGTCCAGCGCGTCCGTGGCGTACTCCTTGGCATCGTCGCTGCCGTTGCGCTCGAGCTCGACGAGTGGTTCGATGGCGCCGGCCTCTGCGATCATGGCATCGTAAGCGTCGTCGGCGGACGACAGATTCCTCAGCGCGCGCGCGGCCCGCTTCTTGCCGTCGTCGCTACCGTCCCGCAGCAGCTCGACGAGCGGCGCGATGCCCCCGGCATCCACGATCGACTGAGGCGCGATGTCGTCGCCGTTCCACGCGAGGTTCGCCAGCGCGCGCGCGGCCTGCTCCTTGCCGCCGTCGCTGCCGTCCCGCAGCAGCTCGACGAGCGGCGCGATGCCCCCGGCATCCACGATCGGCTGAGCCGCGACATGGTAGCCGTTGCCCGAGGTGAGGTTCACCAGCGCGCGCGTGGCCCACTTCTTGACTTCGTTGTTCCAGTTGCGCAGGAGGGCGACGAGCGGCGGGATCGCGCCGGCCGCCACGATCAAGGCATCGTTATCGTCGCTCGCGCAGGATAGATCAGAAAGCGCTTGCGCGGCGCGGACCGCGCGCACATCATCGCCACGCTGCAGGGTCCGCACGTGAGCAGCAAGGGTCTCGTCCATCGATGGTGACCGAAGACTCACGCGCTAAAGCTGAATTCATGAAGCACCGAGAGGCAGCCCCACCTGTGGGTACAGGGGACTTTCCGCCGTCGCCGCCGCCGCTGCCACCGCGCCGGCCGCCGGCGCGGCGCGTCGGCGCGGCGCCGGAGCCATACGCCCCGCCGCGCATCGCTGCCGCGCGAAGCGGTTCAGCGGCGGCGGCCCGGCGCGGCGCCGATGACGTCGTCGCCGCCCGCCGGCAAGACGGCGGCCGTGAAGCAGTCCTTCTCGGTGCGTCGGCGTCGCTCGCATGATTCCGCGCGCGCAGCCGTTCCCGCCGCGCAGGACTTCGTCAAGTCGAAGCAGCAGCGCGACGACCTCCTCGGCGCCGACGCGGCCGAGGCGCCGAAGCCCGAGCTGCCGAAGCGGCCCCCGGAGCGCCCGAAGGCGCCGCCGCCGCCGCCGGAGCCGGCGCCGGAGCCGGAGCCGGACGAGGACGACGCCGACGACGCCCATTTCGAGGACCTGGCGGCCCGCGTGCGCATGACGGACCCCAAGCCCGCGCGGCGCCCGCGCGGTCCCGCCGCCGCGCGCGCGCGCCGCGACGCGCGCCATCCCCAGGCCGAGCCCGGCGCCTACGCGTCGTCCTGCGGCGACGGCGGCAACAACAAGTGGTTCGAGGTCCAGGGCAACCGCGGCGTCATCCTCGGGGCGGGAAAAGGGCGCGACGTGCTCGACTTCTATCTCGGTCGCGTTCCGCTCGTCTCGGCTCATGTTCGGACGAGCGATCATCTCTCGGAGCGTCGATGTTTTTTTTCCGGGACGCGCGCGCGCGGCGCACCCACGTCGAACCAGGTCATCATGCGCGCGGCGGCCTCGAAGGCGTCGCCGAACGTCGGCGAGCTCCCGACGGGCCAGGCGGTCCTCGTCGACAAGATCGTCACGCGCGGCCCCCGGCGCCCCCCGCGCGCGGCGCGCGCGCGACGCGCGCGCGCCCAGGCTCGACGACGGCACGAAGCGCGCGCGGTGCGTCGACCCGATCCTGGGCGTCGACTTTGGCTGGGTCACGCTCCGGCTCCTCGTCGCCCGGGAGAAGGCGCCGGCCAAGGCGCCGCCGACGGGGCTCAAGGACGCGAAGCAGGCCGCGGCGACGGCGGCGACGGCGGCGAAGGTCCCGCGGACCGCGGCCGCGGGCCCCGGCGCCGCCGCGGCCGCGACGTCCGCGGCCGCGGAGAAGAAGGCGCGCCAGGGCTGGGGCCGGGGCTTCTTCGACGGCAAGGCGCCGCCGGCGCCGGCGCCCGACGACGCGCCGCCGCCGCCGCCGCCCGACGACGGCGCGGCCATGTCCGACACCGCGCGGCGCGTCCGCGGCTGTGTGGAATTCAAATCTTCAACCCGACTTCAATGTGAGCGTATTCGAACGATTTGGACCAGACTCTTTCACTGTGCTTCGAGAACTCGACGAGAGCGATCGATCCGTCCAAAAATCAGCCGAATCGACTTTGATTTGACCGAGCTAGAGAATTCTCAAGTTTGGTGGGGACCCCCCAAACCAGTGGTTGGTTTCGGCACAGGTCCGTCGGCCGCCGGCGCCGAAACGTCTCGCGCGAACGGGTCGCGTCGGGGACGCGCCGAGGGACGGTCGCGCGTCGTCCCCGAACCGAGGCCCAGCGCGGGGGCGACGACCGAGGGAGACGGTTCCCGACGCCGCGCAGGCGAGGGCCGCGTGGACCAGGCGCGGGCCAAGGGCGCCAAGTACTACGAGGCGGGCCGCTACTTCGAGGCCGTGCGCGCCTACTCCGAGGGCCTCGACGCCTGCGGCTTCGGCCAGGGCAAATTCGCCGTCGCCGGCGCCGCCGCGGTCTTCGGGCGGACGGCGGCGAGCCTGCTCGGGAATCGGAGCGCGGCGCTCATGATGGTCTGCCGCTTCGCCGACTGCGTCCGCGACTGCACGCACGCCCTCGCCGTCGCCGGCGCCGGCGGCGACCGCGCCGCGACCGCGCGGCTCCTCGCGCGCGGCGCGCGCGCGCTCACGCGCCTCGGGCGCTTCGAGGAGGCGGAGACGTGGTTCCGGCGCTGCAAGATCCGCTGCGACGGCGAGAAGGCGCGGGACGAGGCCATGGACGGCGCGGCGGCGGCGCGGAAGCACGCCAAGGCCCTGGACCGCGCGACGCGGACGCTCCGCGACATCGACTCGCACGCGACGACGCGCGGCGCCGCGCGGGGACGCGAAAGACGCGACGAAAACTTCAACGCGCGGGCTCGACGTACACGCTGTCCCGAAACGACCGCGCCGAGAGCAGACGATCCGTCCCAACATCGTCGATGTGACCGAGGGGGGTGTCCAGCTCGGCCCGGGTCCTCCCGACCGGTCGCGCCGCCGCGCAGGCTCGACCCGCGGCGGTGGTGCGAGGACGCGCTCGGCGAGCTCGACAAGGTGCTCGCCGACGCGGGCGCCTGCGTCGCGGCGCGCGAGCTCAAGATGGCGGCCCTGGGGCGCCTGAAGCGCTGGGACGAGGCCGTCGCGTTCGGCGGCGACCCGCGTGGAACTCGACCGCCGGTTCGGGACGTCCCGACCAAACTTCAGAACGCTCTATCACATCGACGTCGATTCGGCTGATTTTTGGACGAATCGAGTGCTCTTGTCACGTGCTCGAAGCACAGCGAAAGAGTCCGGTCCAAACGTCGTGCTCGATCGGGCTGAAGCTGCGATCTCCGCGCAGGCGGCGACTGCGACGGCGCGTGCGGCGTCGCCGCGGCCGGCGGCGGCGGCGGCGGCACCGTCGACGCGTTCCTCGCGGCCGCGCCGCCGCCGGGCACGCAGGCGGGGCCCTGGCTCGAGCGCGGCGCCGGCGGCTTCTACGTCGCGGCGCTCGACCGGACGAACGCGTTCGACGAGGCCGCGGCGACGCTCGCGCGGTGGCGCGCGCGGTGGCCCGAGGCGGGCCGCTTCTGCGACCAGCGCGAGCGCACGTCGAAGCTGCTGCGGCGGTCGAAGAACGAGGGCGACGCGGCGCTCAAGGAGGGCCGCTTCGCGGCCGCGCTCGAGGCCTACGGCTACGCGCTCCGCGTCGACGGCAAGCACCCGCGCGTCTTCTACAACCGGGGCCTCC